CACTTTAAAATGGAGCAGTAAAAATGGAGTGACAAATATATTTAATCTAGGGAAGAACTGTCTAGGCTTTAAGGCTGTAGTTTATTCACTTTTACATGGCTTGAGGTAGAAATCTTTAATATATTCGTGGCTTATTTTAAAGGGGGTTATAAAAAATTCTAAATAATAAATAAAATTCCTAAGAAATAATTAGGAAACACAAAGAATTATTAGTTAATTTGGCTGACTCTTCCTTGATCTACATAAATAGTTGCCTGGTTTATAGTGTTTATGTAAGTCAGAGACTGGGTTAAGGGATTTGCTGACCCGCAAAATAGATCGCAAAGTTCGTACTTAAAGTTCTTACTTAAAGAAAATTCATATAGTAATATATAAATTGATACAATTTACTTAATGTTGTTATTTAAGCAAGTACCTAGTTTGTTATTAATTCTTATACTTCAAACATATTGAAACCCCCTAAGCTCCTATAAAAAAAATATAACTCATACGCCCCACTGTCATCTATCCTTATTTTAATGTTTTCTTTTAAATAATCTACTCTAAACTGAAGCTCGTTAAAACTGACAGCAGCAAAAGAGACTCGAATCTCGAGTGCTTTGGACACGCTAGAATTGAAATGCGATACATGCAAGCCCACATAAGAGCCACAACAAATTCGGTCTTCGTTAACATTATCAACACATCGGTCCGACTTCTCCGTTCAATTTAGTTGGCTCTGAATGGAATTGGTTCAGTGACCAGTGGTAAAAATTTGTTAGCCGGCACAAACAGCTGATGTGGTCGAAAAGCGTTTTTTGTTGGCCCGGTTTTCGTACCGTTTTTGGTCTCTGTGATTGGCAGGCGCACATGTTCACGGCATATAAGCGCTTCATTATGGCAAAATGAAAAGTGTTTCGCCTTCGTTTGGTTTCTTATTCAACAAAGAAAGTCATACCAGAAATTATGCAAAAAAATCAAATCGAAAGAAACCAAAAATCGAGCGACTAAAATCAAAGCCAGACTTGGACAACAATACACTTGACGATTGCATCGAACAAAAATATCAAGAGTGAAAGTTGACAGCTATCGAGAGATACATTTTTTGAATATTATTTTGTTCCTGAGGTGGTGAACTTGCATCGAAATGAAAAGGTATCAATTTCTGTGGTGTTGCCACCGATTATTATAATCGAAGTGTTGCCAAAGGGTAAAGGACTGCAGGTGCTGATTTGTGTAAACTCGATTAGCTACAATGTAACATGCTTTCATTTTATATTTCCCAAGGTCTTACCAGAATATTAATGTAACTAATTTATAAGCAACCTTTTCATTTAATATTAGAACTTAGCTATAAAAGGTTTTCGCCACTTAAACTTTAGGTATTTTGTTGCTCGTAAAAAACTTTCCTCACTGTTATTTCATGCATACAAAATTTCTTGATTTATAAAAAATAGCTTTTCTTTCTTTGCGCAACCTTCACTTTAAGCAATGTTGGCAAATTGAAAAGCTGCCGCAATACCATTTCAATGCATTTCATTTTCTTGGGCGGTGTTACTCTTGTTTTTCTTTTGTTGTTGCTGCTGATTTTTTCTTGCAGCATAATTTTTACAACATAACGCCCACAACACTTTCTCGCATAGTTAAGCGAATTATACAAAAAAGAGCAACTGGAAAATGCAAGAAAAAAGCGAGTGAAAACGAAACGAGCACAGAAAAAGAAAGAAATATTTCTGTCTAGCATTATTTTGCAATTTCCCACATAATTATTAAGCGCCACAGTCAGAGAGGGAAAAGGGAAAAGTAGAGATATAGCAATAGTGAAATGAAAGCAAACAAAAGTAGGGGAAAAACAAATACTATAGTAAGGTATTTTCAAAGCTAAAAATATAAACTAATTTTAGAATTTAATTATAAATAATTATTTATCAAATACATAAGAACCAATGAAGCATAAGTTTAAACAGGAAAAAACATAAGTCTCTTGAAATTACAAGAATATATCCAACTTATATCACAAAGTTCTCTTTAAAATTCTTTGTAAATATTTTCAGTGTAATAACCAAAACCCCACCGCGAAGAAGCTTCCTCCCCACCGAATGTGCACTGTACAGTAAATAATTTCATGCGCCACCAAAAGAAGAGACAGCTAAGAGATGCTGAAAAAATGCAAATATGATAATAATAATGTAAAAAAAAGCACAAAAGCATGCCAGCACGTCAAGTGAAAATTAAGAAAGAGTCGTTCATGCCACACACATACTCACAGGCATAAATATAAAAGAGTGAAATGCACACACACAGATACAAGATACAAGCTGCAAGCTCGAGCTACAAAACGTTGGTTGTTTTCTAACAAACAACACAGCAAAGAGAACTGTCGACTGTTTGATGGAAATTATAGCCACAGAGACCAGAAGTGGAAAGAAGAAAAAAATCAGAGCCCGCGGCAGAGCAGACTTAAGGAGACCAGATCAAAACCAGTAGACAAGGCCGGAAACAGGTGTCGTCTTTCGCGGCGAAAAGAAGTCTAGAAAACCCTACCATCTACTCATAAATAAGGCCTTAAATATCTTAGCTAGCTGCCAACTTGATGTTTAACTTTATAAAGCCAATATCCGTAGAGCGGATATTACGGATATAAAACATTACGACGACGCATTCTTGTAACGCCCACGGAATTTCTCAGGAAAAGAAGCATAAGCTGGCTTCTTAAATATTTTAGATATTATTTTTACATGTAAATTATTCATAGCTACCCAGCTTTCTTTGAATTTCTTTTTAACAATAATATTTTAATGATCTTACAACATTACAAAATACAACTTAAATCAACTTTGAACCCTCAAAATATTACCTGCACTTTGAACAACATTAACCGAAACTTTTATCTCCACAAACCCACTGATGTCACCTGGGGGGTGATCTCATTTAAGACCTGAGCTCTCCCCTAAGAAGCTTAAAGCCCGACATCATTATAGTATTTATCCCGTCACCCTCGACTTTAGGATTATGTTTTGCAGCTGGACAAAGGTGAGGTGGAGAGCCAGGTGGGTCACGGAGAAGCCCTCAGAGAGCTTTCAATTGAATGCCGATGGAGTTTGATCCCACAGCTCCAGTCGGCAGCACGTTTCCAACTCTTGCCATAGGTAAATGAACTCTTTGCAGACACCCCCTTTTTCACCTGGTGGGTTCTCTAACGGTAACTGGGAATATGTACATATATTTATCAGAGAGAGAGGGAGAGAGGGGGAGAGCGAGCTAGAGTTAGAAACGATTTTGCGGCTTCGCCAAAGTTCGTGAGAAAGCCAAGGCACAAACTGTAACAAAAACTGATTACGACCAACATAATTTATGGCCAGCAGAAAGCCCAGAAGAATTCTTTGTCGGCTGACGAAAGCCAAAAAGGAGCTGGAGGAGGGGAAAGAGCTTAGGGGCACCCACTGATTGATTGATTGGGCTTCCAAGCTAATGCGATTTTTACCCAGTAAATTCTGTGTGTTTTTTCTTCGATTTGTGTTTATTTATTCATCCAACAAAGTCGAGGGTATTCAGTGTCAACGCAAAATGCGAGGGAGCAGTGAAATAAATACCAAATTGAAATACAGAAAAGTGACGTCAAAAGTTGAAGTATATATGAAAAAGAGGAGATGTAGATTAAGGAACCGAATAACAGATACTTCATACTGATGGCTTTTTATTTAGCCATAATTTTTCGCCTAAAGACTCATTTAAACCTTCAAGTTTTTAATTTTTAAGTGCTAAAAATGTTTTATTCAACAAAAAGCCTTTATTTTTTAAGGTATTCAATATCTGTTTTATTTTAAAGATACTTTTGCATAAACAGAAATCTCCCTTTAGTAAAATCTTAAAAAAAAAAAACTGGGTATTTAACTTTAAATGAATGCAGCCAAAGGTGGTTGGTTGGGTTTCGAGTTTCAATGGTCAAAAGTGAGTCTTGAAATGCCAGACGATGCTTTTGTTTCAACTGAACACATTTTACACACTTTTATATACAACAAAAATTAAAAAAAAAAGTACATAAAAGCCCAAGGGAACCGGCATTCTATTGAAAAGAGGGAAAACCTGTTTACTCGGTTGGGCTAATAATAATTGCCAGAAATAGGGGTGCAAAAACAATGCTTTTTTGTGGTAGCCATTGGCATTGAATTGGCCAAAACTGTAGGGAAACCTCTTATACTCGTTGATTCACTTATGGAGTTATGGTTTTTATTAATTAAATTTTACACTCAATGATTGATTTTTGATCACACAATCGGCTAGCACTGCACAGACACTTTTGGGCCTTGTTTCATGACCAATTTTGGTAATTATTTTCCCCCTCCGATCACGAAATGTGATCTAATCAAGATCACGAAGAACACGCAGAAAGCCGAAACACGAATCTACAGAGAACGGAGAGCAAGCGGCACGTTAGCATTGAAAACCCGCCGCAAACTGAAGAGACGCAGCTACGAAACGAACTGCAGGCCTTTTTTATCGATACCCCAGAGATACATTTGTATCTACAACATTACGCTCGTGCATCGAGCACGCTCGGCGCTCTTCAATGAATTTGAAACTCTCAGCAGGTAGCTGCTTAAAAGCCGGTTCACGGCTTAAAACTTTGAGCATTAATTCTACTTTGGAGCTTGAAAAAGTTCGCTTCGAACCTAGTTAAAGTTTGGTGTTTCTGCGGTAAGAGCCAGGTTCCATTTATCTCTTAGATCGCGTGCCTTGAATGTTGCCGAAACATGAGCTGCTTGCTTGAGCTGCTTACCGCACTGCTTGAGAGTTTTCAAACTGTAGCAACACGCACGATCATTGATTTAAATAATTCAAGCATACTTTCAGGAATTTTTAATAAAGAAAACTTGGTGAAAATGATTGTGAAAGCTTTGGCACTTTAATTAAAATTGTTAAAACCATTTAAAGAGTTTAGAAATGCCTGAGATAGAGTACTTAAGGTCTTAAGAACTAAGATAGACTCTTCTTAAATATAATATAATTTGTATACTTACGCAGTGGAGTTTTTGCCACTAGTTTCGGTGATCCGCTTCCAGAAACAGACGCCGAAGGTGGTCCTGATGAGGCAGTGACTCCGCTAGTGGCATTGCACAACAAACTCAGGTCGCTATGCGAACTCTTGTGGTTGTCTTTGCTGTACGAGTGATTACTGTAAAAAAGGACACAAAAAAGTAGCCATTAGTTATGCTTCTTCAATGAGTACTCGAGACCTGTTTCCCTATAAATTATTTAACAATTTATTTCTCAATAAGACAGCCTAATTGGGGCTTACAGAAACCATTAATTGAATACATAAATATTAATTCAGTGAAATTAAAGCAATATAAAATGATAAATTAATGACGTTTTTATTTTCATTTTCCGCTGCTTTTTAAGCAATCTCAAAAACTTGCAGCAAGGCGGCACTTTAAAATTCACAAGGCTGTGAAATTATGGCAAACATTCTTCAAGCGCCGCTGAGCAATCACAAAAAAAACAGAAACCGAAACAGAGTCGGTGAAAAGTGGAAAATCAATTGGAAAGACGCGTCAAATTTATGCACCACCTTTTTCCGTTAAGTGGGTGAAATTTCCTCTTCGTCGCCGCTGTAAAACTATTTTTTTTTTTGCTTGCATTTTGTGTTGTTGGTTTTTTTTTTACAAACAGCTTCCGCCGCCGACAGCTCGCTAATTGAAAACTCGACAAAAAGAAAAAATTTGAAAATTTTCAGCAGGAAACCGCAAAAGCAAGAAAAAAAATGCGAAATGGCCAAAAGGAATTAGCGTTGCCAACTGCGTTTCCGTTTGCCAGCAACATAACTATAATTTTTTCTCTGCTCATCCAGGCAACTACGAAAAAGTAGTAGTTTGTCGCCAGTCGCATTTTTCATATTTATTTATTTACTCTACTTGCAGCACAACTTGGAAAAGCATTTAATTCAATTTCTTGTCGCAATTAAATGCAATTATAAAATTATAAAAAGTGTTGTTAATGCGTGCACACAACTGAACGTATTGTCGTTGATGGTTGGTTGGGTTTTTGACGAGTTAAGAAATACAAAACAAGTTAATTAAAATAGTTAGTTAGATTATAAATAGAATCATGAAAGTGTTGAAATTTTTAGAACATTTTTTAAAACAAGGAAATATCATCATTGTATAAATTCCTACAAGATTTTCATAAAGACATAATATAATACGTCTTCATAAATATGAGAAATACTAAAAAATCCGAGTTCAAGTAAAAATTCCCACCTCATAAATCAACATTAGTTCAGAATATTAAACTTTTTTGCCTTGCCAACTTGAAAGGCAAAAACTGCGGTGAACACAAATCAATTTCTCTGGTAAAAACTATGCCAAGTCATTTAGTTTTTTTCTCGCTGTTGTTGCAATAAACATTGTTTACAGGCAAGCCCAGCTACCGTTTGGCAATACATTATTTTCACTGCCAAGGTTTGCTTTCTGTGTCAACTGTGTTGGGGCCTTTTAAGGCGCCGCCTAGGCCATTGCATTGTAAATAAAATGAGGAGAAATATAAGGAAAACACCAAGCCAAGCCCCAAAGAAAAGCAAAGCATTTCCGCAAGAGAGAGAGAGACTAGAGCGTTAAAGAAGACCATCTATGCAGGTAACAAGTGCGGGTAATAAATGTAGAGTTTTAAGGCATTATTTAAACCCAATTTTTTAAAGGGGGGGAAAAGGGGGTTGCCAGCGACTGACCGGTAAATAGATTTAATTATGCAAAATGCGAAACGAACCCATCGACACGCTGCCAAGTTCACTGAGGCGTTAAACATTGGCGGAAATCGGGCGAGAGAATCAATTGAACAGAAAGAGTCAGACGGACGAAGCTCACCCGCTTTATAAACAAATTGTACACTTTAAATGAAGCACCGAACCGATGGGTCTTTAATGCCCTGACGTTGTTATAAATATTTATTATATCATCCTCCATCCTTCAACCCTCATCCCCCATTCCCCCATTTCGACCGCAGACAAAGTGCAAAAACTGAGGAGCCGTTGCAATTGCAATGCCCGTAATTAAAATGCATTATTAATGAAATGCAAATGTCGAGACATTAATGAAAATGAGAAGGCAGGCTAAGAAAGTGATTTGAGCACATGCGGAAGTAGGAATGCTCTCTATAGAGAATTTCTTTAGAGAAGCTTTTGATAACAGTTCAAGTTAATGTTTTTAAAAATTAATGTACTGAATAATTAAGTGAACTAAATACAAATTTAAAGTCCTAAAAATAGATTCTTTATAATATAATATATGAAAACAATGTTAAATAGTTTATTTATCCTTATTTTTTTTGAAGATAATATCGATTTATTTGATATTTAAAAGGATAATGTAGTACGTAGCTGCATTCGCATTAAATATATATGATGTATGGATATCAGTATTATATTTTCTACTCTACTACTACCAACATTTACTACTAATCATATTTAAAGTGTAAAATCCCTTTCATTGTATATACCCTTTGCTATAAGAGAACATCAAATGCGGCAGACAGTCCCTGAATATCCCCAAGCCCATGAGAAAATCACACACTCAAAGCCACCCGCCCCTTGTACACCTGTCGCGTGATTTACCACCCCTTTCCACACCTGTAGAACCCCCTTGACTCAACGTTTTGCTCTGTGCTATGGCGGCGCTTACCCCTTCGGCAAGGTGACACTCAGGGCGGGCAGCCTAGACTTTGCTGGAAGAACCATTGTCCTGGTGGCCGTTAAAGGCATTATAATATTAAAGTAGCCACTGTCTTCCTGGGGTTAAGCAACTTTTATAGGAAAGCTTCAAGTTGGAAGAATAAACTTATAGAGAAATATATATATAATGTAAAGTTCTTAGTTCTTTGCCTGACTTCAGGGGCAATGCTAACTTTTTGGTTGTATCTCATACAATACTTGGAACAAGCCAGGTGTTTATTGCACAATTTCCATGGATACCTGTGACACTTTTATACAAGCTGACAATTAATTCCTTCTCTCTTTTTGCCAGTGGCTGCATTTTAATTGTCACAACAACAAGGAGCCAAAGAGCCATGACAATATCCATAAAAATTCTGACAACTAAGCCATAATCTGCAATGCCATTTCCTTTTTTCCCATTTACTGATGGCATCCCATTGATCTTTGGCCTTTTTGCAAAGGGGATACAAGAGTTGTTGAAATGCAAAAGAAAAATGAATTGGTAGAGCAATTAGGCTGCTTCCTCTATCTCCCTCTGCAATGGGCAACTTGAAATTGCAGCTTCCTCAATAATTCGTTGTTATTGCTGAGGCAAAGCCTCAGTTTTGCATTTGCCATCGCCCCCATCTCCATGTATTATGCAATTTGTTTGCCATCTCCCTTGAATCCGCCTCCAGCTGAAACAATTCGTCCTCTTAATGAGCTTCCATTAAACTTAATTGCAATTGAAGTTCTGTTTGCTGTCCGTTTTGGAATGGGGAAGCTCAGTTTGCATTATGATTCCGACGTTGGCAAAGCGAAATCCAAACATTTCAGAGATATGTATATATTTGTAGAGCCATCCCACAAGAGTTTCCTCTTTGAATTGGCTGGCATTTCCTATTTAATGAGGATTTGGTTGCTCAGTAAATGTCTTTGAAATAAATAAAGAAATGATTGGAATAGTGAAAAGAAAGCAGAGTATTTCTAGCCTTTAGGTTTTATTTGAGTTATATTTTTTAAGAAAACTAATTATGAAGAACCTACAAAATGACAATTTAATTCATAATAAAGTATATAATATGTATTCCAATTAAGCATTAAATTATTCAAGTTCTTAAATATCTAGAAAACCTAAAGTTCTGTTTAAAGTGTATCCTCACAGTCTCAGAAATCAATGAAACGCTCTCAACTCCTACATCATTGCAATTCCTATTGCAAAGTCTGAGCGCCTTTGAAGTTTACCCCTCATATTGAAACATTATACTACATTCATTCCACATGCCGTTGCCATATACCATTTGCATACTTTCACTTGGTCATAGCCAATTTGATTTAATGGCCAAAGAGCCCGACTGCCACTGATTGCACTCGGCGTTGCCCTCTTAACCCCAAAAGAATACTCCGCCAATGTAGAATAATTAAATTGTTCACTTCCTTCTTGCGGAGAGCGGGCACAATGAGTTCATTATGCGAATTCTTGCAAATACACATATATATCATCATGCTTTTTATCTTGCGAAAATTCCCATTAATCAATTCTTTTGTTCTTGGAAATAACTAGGTGAACCTTTGTTTTAAATTATGTTGAAATCTAATTGCTCTCCCCACCACTAATAAAGGCATAAGACAATGAAAAGGAAAACTTTTGAAAACACAGGTCGAAAAAAAGAGATAGGACTTCACCTCTTTTTTTCTCTGTGTTATTCATTTAATTCGCTAAAGGAAAACAATTAAATTTTCTTTGGTTTCGATGCCATTTTGCGCAATACGAATTCACTTTGGTGACAACATAACCAGACTAACAACTTCAACTGCGGTTCGAGCACAATGAGAGAGTTCCGATCTAACCGACCAAACCAGACGCCGAGAATCGGGAGGGGGAAAAACAAGCCGCTTTTGTTTAACGCATGAGTTATTAATGAACATTAGCAGCATTTGATGTCGCATGGAATGGTAACAATAACGACACTCAACCGGAGAGTGCAGTCTTCCAAAGAGTCGGAGGAGACACTCTAATGGAAGCCAGCCAGCAAGAGTCTGAAGTGGGTTTAAATCGGTTCAAGTTGCTGAAAGTGGAGCGAGCTCCTCTCTCCATTACCTTCAACCACCACCCAAGTTGCACCTCAAGTTGGCTTTAATTGAGAGGTTCTCGAGCAAAGTAAGTGCAAGCTGCAGTATCAAATTTCAGGCATTTTCGGTTATTTTGCTAATTGTAGTAAGTAGTGCTTGTTTTGGTTAAACAAAGTTTATTAGAGGGAACATTATACATAATTAAATGGTATTGGTTATGGCTAAGTAGTTTTAGGTAATAAAGAATGTAATTTAAACCACAATAAAGCTTTAACTTTTGTATAAATGAAATCGCTTACTGGCTGAATAAGGCAATGCTTTTAAGTTATAACAAATTAAATTCTAATTCTAATAAATACAGCTTTAATATGGGCTAACAAAAGTCTTTAACATTTTATAATAAACTATTAATAAAT